GCTATAGTGTGTAGCCAGTAGCCAGCGTGAGTGGCCAGCAGCCACAGTGAGCAGCCGTCCAGAAGCCAGCGACTGATGTGCCTCACCCGGGAAGAGCGCAATGATGGTGCCAACTTGGGCCAGTGAAGCAACGTCCTCCACAACTAAACTGAAGAACAAAAAACGACAGCAACTTGTCTGTTCCCCTCCCCCCAATTCCCCAGTGCTGTTCCCACCTCCCAATTCCCCAATAAAAATCTTTAAAAAAAAAAAAGGAGAAATTAGGAAAAAAAATCCCATTTACAATTACTTCAAAAACAATAAAAAACTTAGGAATTAATTTGACCAAGGAAGTAAAAGACCTGTACTCAGATAATTATAACCTTGAAAAGAGAAATTATAGAAGATACAAATAAATGGAAACATATGCCGTGTTCACGGATAGGAAGAATTCATATAAAATGTTCATACTGCCTAAAGCAATATATAAATTCAGTGCAATCCCTATCAAATTACCAATGACACTTTTCAGAGAACTAGTATAATCCTAAAATTTATATGGAACCATGAAAAACCCCTAATAGCTATGGCAATCTTGAGAAATAAGAACAAAGTTGGAGGTATCACAATACCTGACATTAAATCATACGATAAGTCTACAGTAATCAAAATAGCATTGTATTGGCATAAAAACAGTAACATTGATCAATGGAACAGAATACAGAGCCCAGAAATAAATACATGCTTATATGGTCATTTAATCTATGATAATGGAAGCATTATGTTGGGGTAAAGACAGTCTATTTAATAAATTGTGCTGGGAAAATTGTTCAATTTTCACACATGCAAAAAAATGAAGCTGGGCCATTTTTTTGCACCATATACAAGAATAAATTCAAAGTGGATTAAAGACTTAGATGTAAGACACAAAACCATAAAACTCTTAGAAAAAAACATAGGAAGTAAATTTGTAGACATTATCCTTAGTAATATTTGTACTGATATGTCCCCTCAGGCAGGGGAGACAAAAGAAAAAATAAACATATGGGATTACATCAAACTGAAAAGTTGTTTCACAGCAAAGGAAACAATCAATAAAACAAAAAGGCATCCTACTGAAGGGGACAAGATATTTGCCAATGATACATCTGATAAGGGGTTAATATCCAAAATTTATAAAACAAACTCATAAAACTCAACACCAAAACAAACAAACAACCCTATTAAAAAATAGGCAGAGGACACAAAAAGACATTTTTCTCAAGAGGACATACAGATGGCCAACAGACATATGAAAAAATATCAACATCACTAATCACTAGAGAAATGCAAATAAATCAACAAACAACAACAAACAAGTGCTGACCCAGCAACCCCTCTTCTGGATATATACCAAAAAAACCTGAGAACATTTATCTGTAACGATATATTTGCTCCGATGTTCATTGCATCTTTATTTATGGTGGCCAACACATGGAAACTACAAAAGTGTCCTTTGATAGATGATTAGATAAAGAAGTTGTGGTATATGTACACAATGGAATACTGTTCTGCCATAAGAAAAGATGATAATGCCATTTGTGACAACCTGGATGGACCTTGAGATTATTATGCTAAGTAAAATAAGTCAGACAGAAAGAGTTGAGAACCATATGATTTCACTGATATGTGGTACATAAAACTGAAAACAACAAAGGAACAAGACAAACAAATGAAGAAACAAAAACTCATAGACACAGACAATAGTTTTGTGGTTACCAGAGCGGGAGAGAAGAGGGAGTTGGTAGATGCGGGTAAAAGAAGATCAAATATATGGTGATGGAAGAACGGACTCTGGGTGGTGAACACACAATGGGATATATAGGTGATGTATTACAGAATTGTACACCTGAAACCTATGTAACTTTACTAACAATTCCCCCCCCCAATAAACTTTAGTAAAAAAAACAAAAACTCATAGATAGACAATAGTTCAGTGGTTACCAGAGTGTTAGTGGTGACGGGGCATAGTAGAAGAGGGTAAAGGGCATCAAATATATGGTGATGGAAGGAGAACGGACCCTGGGTGGTGAGCACACAGTGTGATATATAAATGATGTATTACAGAATTGTACACTTGAAACCTATGTAACTTTACTATCCATTGTCACCCCAATAAATTTTTTAATTAAAAAAAAGAAAAAGAAATTTATCTCAATACAAAAAAAAATCATACATGAAAAGCCCATAGCTAACATATAAAATGTTATATTTAGGGACATTAAATTGTTTATAGTACTCCTCTCATCCTTTTGATATTTGTTAGATTAGTAATAATGTCTCCTTTTTTATTCTTGATATTGGTAATTTGTGCCTTCTCAATTCTTTTGCTTGCTCAGTCTGCATAGATGTTTTCAATTTTATTAATCTTTACAAAGGACAAGATTTTGGTTTTATTGGTTTTTCTGACCTTTTTTCTGTTTTCATTAATTTCTGCTCTACTATAATTTTTCTTTTCTTTTTCTTGCTTTAGGGTTAATTTTTTCTTATTTGTCTATTTTCTTAACATGGCGCCTTACATTACTGATTTTAGATTCTTTTTCCAATATAAAGATATCATGCTATAAATTTCCCTTTAAGCAACACTTTTGCAGTATCTTATAGTTTTTGAAGTTTTTAAGAACATTTGACATGAGATCTACCCTCATAACAAATTTTTAAATGTACAGTAAGACTGTTAAATATGGACACTATGTGGTATAGAAGACCTCTATAACTTATTCATTTTATAACTGAAAATTTATACTCATTAAACAACAACCTTTCATTTCTCCTTCCACAACCACTGATAATATTTTACTCTCTGCTTATATGAGTTTCACTAGGGGTTATGATACAAAAAAGGAAATGCCTAATGCCTCTGGGGAGCAGGTCATAACGTGAATAGGAAGGTGTTTGCATAGGATGTTTGTTCTGAAATTATGTATTAACTTGTCCATTAACATTTTATGCATTTTTCTATTACACATAATATATTTTAAAGAAATTTTCTCCATATTACTACAAATGCATTTCAATTATTACAAAAATTTAATAACTGCATAATGTATAAGGTCTGAGAGGACACTTACTAAACTAATAATAGTGGTTATAGTTGGGAAAAATGGTGCAAAGTGCTTAAGTTAGGCTAAGTGTGTTTTCATTTCACCTGGATTATTTAGAATTTTTACAGAAATATACTTATTTATGATTTGGATAATTGATAGAAGACAAATAATCCAACAAGTACATAAATGAGAAACATCAATTTTAAAGATATTTAAGAAACAATCCTATGGGGTGATTGTCGAGAAGATATGTCTGCATTCTAATCCTTGGAATTAGTAAATGTAATCTTATTTGAGAAAAAATTCTTTGTAGATAGAATTCAGTTAAGAGACACAATATTACATTATCTTGGATTATCTGGGTACACCTTACACAAATAACAACAAATGTCCTTAAAATAGATGCATAAAGAAAAGAGGAGAAGGCCACATGCTGATGAAGGCATAGATTGGATTGCTGTAGCTGTAGGAAATGCCAAAAGCCAACAGAAGTTGAAAGAAGCAAAAAAGTATTCTCCCCTAGAGCTTTCTGATGGAGTATGGCCTTGCCAACACCTTGATTTTTACCTTCTGAGTTCCTGAATTGTGAGAGAATAAGTTTCTGTTGTTTTCAGCCACCAAGTTTATGGTAATTTGTTATGGGAGACTCAGGAAATTAATACAGTAGGCACCACTTATTGTGGGTCTTATTCCACAATACAATGAAATGCAAACTATACATATTGATCTTACAGTCAAGCACATTGACCCTAGGCTTAATACTATATTTAAAAAAGTCTTTCAGAAGTATTGACTATTAGGTAATTGTCAATAGTCTGAATATTTAATAACCATTTAAAGCAATGTAGCATCTGCATTTGCTTCAACCTCTTTTCTACTATTTATTCTTTTCATAAGTTTCACCCAAATTATTTTCATACTTAAATTAGAACTTGAGTGTTTGTTTAAAAGTCTGCCTTCAGCCAGTGGTATTCTGGTGAATGTTTAAAAAATGGTTTTATGGAAAAAAGTGATTTGTAGTATTTTCTGATTTTCTTTGATGTGCATACTCTCACCTTGGCTAATTTCAAACTATCCAAATGATGTTATTGAATGCAAAATTGACAAAAGATGAGTATAATCTGCTGTCACAAACTCATATGAACCAGCTTCAGCCAACCACTGCACTTAACTAACATAAGTCACACAAAACAAGTCAATATATGATAAATATATTCACTTTAATGCTGACTTTAGCTAACTAGAAGAGTAATACATAATAATGAATATGCATCTATTTCAAAAAGGAGTAGAAATCTAAAGCTATTGTTATATCTGATTTATTTCCTTCTTACACAGTTTAAATCTGATGCAGGAACTATAAAATGTCCTCATAATACAAGAGAAGAAATAAGGAAATAAGCTAAAACTAATAGAAATTATATCAACAATTTTTTCAATTGGTTAACTTAAAAAATATTGTAAGGAAATTAGAAAACTTGACACAAAGTATTAGTTTTATTGTAGGAAAAAACATTACTTAATTAGGAAGAATATGGAATGAAAAGTTTCAATTGCCTTAGAAGAATATTACAATTTAGTCCATGGAGAAAGAAGACAAATTCACTGAAATAAGAAAACTTTTTAATTAAAATACGAAAACACTAACCTGGCTTCTTTGTTTATTTGATCACCATATCCCACTGTTTTCACAACAGATAATTTCAACTGAACATTGCTTTCCTGAAGATCATATGTCTGAATTTTAAGTTCAACATTTGGATAAAAATGTGAGGATTTTTTGTCTTTCAAATTAGTATTAAACAACGTGTTGATCAGTGTTGACTTTCCAATTCCAGTTTCCCCTGTAATAAAGGTATATCATATAGTAGCATAAAATGACTGAGAAGGAGTAACACTCTGAACCCCTAGAATGGTTTAAAAGGTTCCAAATTCTTCAAAGACAGGGATATCCTTGAAAATACACATACTACTCTTGACACTTTCAGTTATTAACATAATATAGAAAGAAAATATACATAAAGGTGTATCAGATTTTGAAGAGCACTGAAACATTTAAAGAAAAAAGTGTTTAAGTAATATGGCTAAGAATATGTAAACCAATACAAACATGAAGATATATTCTTGAATTACCAGTGCCAGTGTTACAGTCCTGAAGATAAGTTAAAATAAGCTTTGAAAAAATTAAGTAATAATTTAGATGAAAAATTTGGCACTTACCCACACAGAGAATATTAAAAGAGAATCCTTGTTGAATAGATCTGTCCACTAACTGATGAGGCAAACATTCAAAACCAAAATGACCAATCATAGTTAAACAACGGATATTATCTTCTTTTTGCTTAAAGAAAAAACAAGTAAAAATATTTTAATTAGAATAGGAAATATTATTTGAAGACATAATGATAATATTTCAAATACATTAGAATTAATTATTGCTTGATTATCATACTTCAGGCAAGAGCAAATTAGGTAAATTTATAAAAAAAGAAGTTTTTGTCTAGACACATAGATTTTGCAATTATTTTTATAACTAGTGAATCTATCTGCAACTACACTCAAAAAGACAGTGTTCCTAGATTTAAAAGCAGGGAATTAAAGAAACACCTCAAGCTCCCACCCCCTTCATCTACCACCAATGGATTTCATTTAAGCTTCCTCCTTTGATTTTATGTATAAAATAAGCTGCAAACCACCATTTTGTGGAGCATTTTCTCAATTCATTGAGATTTGCTTCCCGGCAATTGTCAACAGTTTGGCTCAAATAAACTCTTATAAATTTTCTCTTAGGCTGGATGTTTTTTTTTTGTCAACATTACTTGGCATTGTCGACAGGATTCCAAAGAAGCCCACCCAGGAACACCCTGCGGACCCGGATTCGGTGCTCGGTACCAGCAGGGACCCATTGTGCCCCACTGGCTCCCTGCTTCACATCGGGAGAATTTGGAATCATAAGTTTGACTTTTGGCATCCAAGCTAATTTGAATATCTTCTTATGACACTTCCGGTAAGATGGCGGAATAGACAGATGCTGTGCGAACTACCTCCCAGGATCACAACAAAATTACAAATAATTTATAAGATATTCAACCTCAAAAGTTCCCTGGACCTGAGATGAACAGATCCTCTAAAAGAAGGACTTAAAGAGGAGGCCACATCAAGTCCGGTACGAGGGGTGGAGAAGAAAGAGGGCGAACCCCGTAAGGGACACCTCAGCAGTGGGGAGGCTTCTCCAGTTGGGGGTGAGACCCTCCGGCCGCACACCACGCTCACCACCCCAGAGTTATGGTGCCAGGAAGAGGAATTCTATGATAGCTAGAAGGAGAAAATAGTGAGGACTCTCTTTGCTCGGCTCGGTGAGGCTGGGGGCAGCTAAAGAAACAGTGGAGCCGGCAAACCAACTCACTCGCTGGTGAGCACTCACCCCATTCCTGGTGGAGGGAGTGGCTTTGTGAGCGGGGCCCAGGAGCCTGTGGGAAGGACTGAGCTGAGTGCCTTTGGTGTGGGAGCTGGAGATTTTTGGAACCATTGTTCCCCTGGTGTGGAGCTTGCACATGATTAGTGCACAGGACAGCGCCATTTTTTCAGGGTTGGGCCCTCCCACAGAGGCTCAGGTCTGGACTGCATTGGTCTGCTGGAATTGGCGCAGGAGTGCGTGTGTGCCTGCATGCGTGCATCCGTGCACGTGTGGCCTTGGATCCCCACCCTCCATACTGTTTTTGCTATGTAGCCAGGGAAACGCCAGGCAAGAAGACTCCGACTACAACAGACTGCTTTTTGAGACCCGGAAGTGCGCGACTCGCCTTAGGTCCCTGATTTCTGCACTGCACGTGCAGAGTTGTCTTGGTGGCAATTGGCTGTCGGGCTGCTCAGCCTGATCTTTGAGCGGCTGATGGGGACAGGCTGAGACAGGGAGTTTTCCTGGGAGTGTAGGGCCGCGAGCTGTGCACCTGCGTGATTCAGCTGGGACTTTCCAGGTGAGTCTGTGTGGGTTGGCTGCCGATGCAGGAGTGCATGCTGCTCTGACTTGGTGGGGGCCACTGACTACACCCTGTGGTGCATTGGGGGCCTGCCCCGCCCACCTAGAGCTGCATCCTGAGCCCCTGGTCCCTGGCTCCTACCTCTGCAGGCCACAGAGGGTTTTTTGCAGCAGCAGACAGCCCGTAACAACCTGTGAGGAATTTTGGTGGTGAGCATGGTTCCAGAGCACACAGCAACTAATTGTGGGAAGCTTACTTCAAGTCCAGAGGGAGGTTGGCGCATGACGCACTGAGCCCTTCCCCCCAACAGCTGGGCTGAGTTGCCCAGAATCTCTGTATTGCTGAGCAAGTGGTCTGCAGTGCAGATTACAGTGGGGAGAGAGCCCCTCCTATTTATTTTTTTTTCCTCTTTTTTACCTTTTTTCCCCTTTCTCTTTCCTTTTTTCCTTCTTTTTTCTTTTTTTGTTTTTCCTTTTTTCTTCCTAGGTGATCTAATACATCAAGCAATCACAGCGACAGCCAGAATGAAAAACAAAGAAACATGTCCCAAGTTAAATATCAGAAGAAACTTCAAGAAATGCAACTAAATGAAACAGAGGTATCCAACCTTTCAGAGACAGAGTTTAGAACACTGATGATAAGAATGTTTCAGGAACTTA